GGAACGTCTCAAGAAGTGGATTTCCATCAACATCAGAAATGTTCTGTGATGGGTCACTCAGCAATGTGAAATACAAACAGACTGATCGCAGGAAGAAGTTCACACCCATTAGAAAAGTAAAACGACGAAGAACAACAAGACGCCCTGGTGTCATGAAGAATCTGACAGCAGACATCACAACAAAGAAACCAAGGTACTTGTCAGCAAACGCAACCAAATCCACAAATGGGAAGATCCCAAATAGAACATCATCCAAAACAAATTGGTGGAGCACAATGTTGGCATGCTGTCTTTGCCACTGACGCTGAAATTCTTGGGCAAGTGGAATCATCAACCCATTCAACAATCCACCACTGACCATAAACACTATCGAGAACAGTAAAGGGTGCGTGAAAATGGCCTTGAATCCATTTGATGGCTTCTTATACATCGTTAAAAAACATTCCCTGAAAAAATGAATGGTGTCAACAACAGCTGGTAAAAAATTAGAAAACCTTTTGGAGCTTTCTACCATGTGTTTGACTTTAACTGTAAACGTTGGTTTTATATCTGCTTTGATAACTTCAATATTTTCTGTATCTCCAAACTCGATGGAGGACTTTTCGGTTGTGACTGGGTATGTCAGTAACTCAATGGAGCTTGGGGGCATTATGAAATTTGAAGATCGTCTGTTCTCAAATTATACACTTTTTAAAATGAAATAAAACGATTGGTTATTGGTAAAATTTAATCGGATTTATTTTGGATATTATGCTTTTTTTTGTATTCCTTTATACTAATATTAAAATCGAGTTTGGGAATGCCTATTTACTTAAATAATATATATATATAGTATATTATAGTATCGATTAATCAAATAATAATTACAAATATATTAATATTTGAAAAATGTCAGAGACAACAATTATGGTTTATATTAAGTGCTCTATTTTAAGGAAAAATGTATGATCAGTAAAGTTTAGTCGAGAGAACAAGTCAGTCTTTTAATGTGTTTTGTGATAATTTACACAAAATAGTAATTATACTATTTTCAAATTAAAAATTTTTGTTGTTGTGAAAAAAGCCAAATCGTTTCTTAAATAGTTTAATATTAATTTAATAAATACAATACAGGAAATGAACGTTCGTTACTAATAATTTGTAATATAAATTTAATTATAAAATAATATATTTATAAGATAACCAAAGAAAAATGCATTTGTTTTTTGTCTTTTTTAATACATTTTATAGAAAATGAGATGGATTTTTTTACAAAAGAATGTTCTCATTTAAAAACAGAAGAGATAGACATTTATTTATGTCATTATAAATACAATAAATATAACATAGACGTTGATTCATTTAATAAATCGGGTTATTTTATTTAATAATTATCTGATTTTTTATATGTTCAGGAGAAGAAAAATAAATTATTAAAATTATATTATTAGATATAGTATTTTTTGAAAAAAATCATCTGATGTTTTTAATAAAAATATTTTTATATCAGAAAAAAGTTGATTAAATCCGTTTACAGATGCCTGAAAAACCGACCAACACAGAAAAAAAAAACAGCAAACTATAAAAATAATTGTTAAAAACTATTAAAATATGACAAAAAAACCCTTAAAAAATCAAGACAAAAAATAGCAAACTATAATTTACTATAAATATTACTATTAAATTAAAAAAAAGAAGCTTAAAAATTTCATTTTTTATTTAGAAAAAGCTATGAAACCTTTATTGGCAAATTGTTGTGGTGTTTGTTTCATTTTCAATTGTTTTATTTTTCTCAGTTCTTTGTATCTATCTTTGTTTTTTCTCATATTTTTATACGTTTTAAGTGACTTGTTTTTGATTTTTCTTTGGTGGGTTTGTGCTTAATAAAAGCCGACTCCACTTTATTTTTACATTTCTTTATGTTTCCTGTTGTTATTTCAGGTGGTGGTATGTCTTTTATTGGAAATACACGTGTTATTTTTATTCAATTATATTTTAAAAAAAATCTAAAGTTGCAGTTACAGCTTGTGCATCAATACCTTTGTTTCCTAAATGTATCAAATGTTGTTTGATTAGAAACAAGAAAAATGTATCATTGAATACACTTGAAAAAGAATATATAGACATCCTACACACTTCATTTACGGGTGCATTTAGTTTTTTAACACTCTCATCATCGAGTACATTCAAAATAAAATATTTATAGCCTTCAACCAAAGAAGCACTCATTATATCAATAAATATCCCCACTTTATTCAAAAAATGTATAACCAAACCTCACCGATGAAATGACGCTTAGATATAATATGGTGTGGCATTGTGTTCAAAATAGGTCAAATGTTTTTCAATGCTTTTGAATGTACATTCTTTTGTTGCAACTCGATCATTTAATCCATGTATAGCATCACTCGCCGTCTGACTGGATTTTAATATTTATTCAACTATGAAATACGTTGCTTATGATGCTTTAATCAACGAATATTCGAGTTAAATGTTATACGGTTTCGGACTGGTTTTAAAACAACTATGCTAAGAAACAAGTTGTTGTTTTTCATAACAAAATAGTATTTTTGTTTGAAATATATCACAAGAAGTTGAAATTGTTTTTATGCTCTGAAAAACGCAAAGTCCAAAGGTTGAACACAACGTGAACTATGGCTAATATAGCAACATTTTTTAATATAATTAACATCCAGAATATTATAAATTTCATTGTTGACATGGCCGGAGAATTGGTCCATTAATAAAAGGTATATGTATTATGAGGAATACTATTGATGGTTTTAATAACGTGAACATTAGGTATAAAATATTCAACAAGCCAGTTTTTAAAATGGATTTATTAATAAACCCAGTTTCTGACGAAGAGAATGTAACATATGGGTATTTTATTAACAATTCTACACTTATAAATGTATTTTGAAAAAAAAAATATTAGAAAAGCGATTTTTTTCATTGTATTAAATACATGTAAGCATAGTACAACGACTTTTTTATCTTGCAAAACCAACATTAATTGTTTCGGATGAGATATTACCAGGAATTTACCAATTTTTATTTTTATTGTCTGCTTAATTATTGAAACCTATTTCATAAAAGTTGAATGATGTACAATATGGGATTTATTATAATTGGAAAACTTTTTTTAATTTTCGATTACTTGGTTACTATCCAAGTTGACTCGTTTTAAGTCTTCTGACACAGTCTTTGCAATTATAAAATCAAATAATTTATTCAACCAACGTGTTATAGTGTCTCGTGATATCAAGGAAATGGTTGCAATTTATGAACAAGAGTAACAAAGCTTGATACCATTACAGTAAGGGATATATTCAAACAATATCCGATGAAAAAACAAACAGCAGCATATATATATATGCTGTTTATATATATGTAGCGTGTACATATTTTATAAATCATTTAATAAATATTAAATGATTTATAATGGAAATAATCATTGAAAAATCTATGTGGTATTGTTGAAACTTCGTTTATTGACTGTGGTAAATTTTTAATTTTTTTTAATTTTTGGTTGTATTGATTTGTTTTTATTGATTTATAGTCACCCGCTAAAAGGTATAAATTTCCGACAAACGGTCTAAAGAAACCATATTATTGTTTTTTGAAATTATGATTTTATATAGTGTTTCAATTTGACATTTATTTCTTTGTATTGCAAGTATTTCAAAATAAACTAAAATTTTACTTAATTATAATACATTGTCAAAAATAGATTAAAGGTTAACTGAAAATCATTTTTAATGGAAAATGCCGTACACGTGCATTTATTTGGACAATACCAAAAAGACCAAACCTGCTATTGCGATAGTTTTCGACAATTCAACCGATTCTTTGGATGTATCAGATTCATTGTGTTGCTCGCTGAAAATAACATAACCTTTGTAGGCTTAACTCAGTATGCTTCTCGTTTCCTTTAAGTTGTTGATTTGGGGATATTTGGTAGGCTTAAAAGAAGAATGTCTACTTTTAAAGTGAAAAACAGTTTTGTAAATTTGCTTTTTCAAGAAGAAGTCGAGAAGGAAGAAATGGATGGTAATTTGTTTTGGAAAGAAAAAACATTTTCACAATATTGAACTCGGAAACAGACTTAAAGAGTTGATCATGTTAATGGATTTTTTGTGGTTACAACACCTATTTTTTATATTATTGCTTTTAACAAGCTGTTGTAATCAACTGGATTGACAAAACACCCCAAATTGCCGTGTATTTATTGAACATTGTAAATTTAAAGAAACACCCCAATACAGAGAATTTTTTCAACAATTTATTCCAAAGCGATTTCCGTTGCCTCAAAAGAAAAGAACAACAGGATTACTCCTTTTCCAAATTGAATTAAAAAAGAAAGGGAAGAAAAAAGAGCATTAAAAAATTAAAAGAAGATAAGGAAAATGCCCCCGTTTTAAGATTGACGTCGTCTTTTAAACCAATTAAAAAGCTTTGAAAAAAATTGATTCAATGTGATTTTTTTGTTTTTTCTTTTTTAATGTTATTTGTGTTATTTTTACTGTTTTTTTTACAATTATAGTATAAAAAATAAATTATAGTTTTTTAGACCATTTGTCTTGTTTTTATTGCTTTAAGCGGGTGACCAGGCGTCTCCATTTTTTACTCGAAAATACTCACGTTATCAATTATTTACCATTTTAATATATATCCAAAACCATTTTTTAATAGTATTTTTTTGTTTTTAAAAACATAATTATATCAAATAATAAAATAAGTTATTATAAGTTATTTTTTCTTCAAATTCTTCAAAAATGAACATAAAAACAAAAATTTAAAAAATTAATAATTTTGATGATTTATTGTTAAAATTTTCGAAACTAAAATAAAATCGGCAATTGTAATTTTTGTGTTTTTTTTGAAAAAAAAATAAATATTTTAACCAAAATTAACCAAATACTGAATTGTTTAAAATCAATGTATCAATTTAAAATTTAATAAATTCAAACAAATTTATGTTTCGTTCAAAAGCACCTTGTACAATTCCCAGTAAAAGAAGAAAAATGGACTAAAGAAAGGTTTCTTGTACTTAAAGGTTACACAATTTTTACCTGTTTAATTTGTAATAAAGTGATTACAAACAACTTTGCATCTTCGCATTTTGAAGAATATCATTCAACAATCAACAAAGAAACTCTCTCAAGAATTTCAGTGGCTTATGAAAAAGGTAGAGACTCTTATAATAAAAAGACAGTCTTGAATGTGTTAATAAAAAAAGAAAAATTGAAGGAAATTGTCAAAGATTGTAAAAAATTTACAACGCAAATGACAACAATAATGAGCGAAAATCATATTCCCCTAACAAAAGGAAACGAAATTATCGAGTTATGCAAAAAGTTTAGAGATTTGAGCAACAAAAATGGAGAACTTTTTGACAACCATCTACACTCAAGTTATTCTACTCTGAAAAGAAACCAAACAACAACTGAAAACATTAACAATAATCGGGCCGCACTTTCAAAAAAGTCTGTTTATATTGGGTTACAGCTCGATGAAAGCAAAGTTTCCAAGAAAAAGTACTATTTGGTGATTATGAGGTTTGTTACCGCTTATTTTGAAGTTTTTGAATATTTGGTTTCAGCATTTATACTTGAAAAAAAGTCAACCGGTCAAAATATATTCGAAGAAGTTATAAAAAGACTCGAA